GCGAGCCTATACCATCCTGCGGCGCCACGGGCCTCTGTTCCTTCACCTCTTCGCCCTGATGCGGGCCGCCGGCCTGCCTGAGCTCAGCTGCTCCAAAGACATCCAGTATCTCAAGGTAAATGCCAGGGCAGGGCCCTGCCAGGCAGAGCGGGTGGCCCCCAACTCCCCAAGGCCTCTGCCTCTTCTGAGCATTGCGGCCTGGGGGGCCCTGAGCTCAGTGGACCCCGCAGGGCACTCCCGGTGTGGGTCCTTCACGCCACCCACGAGCCAGCAGCAGGGGGGCCGGTGGGGTCAGCCCCGTTCCGTTGCAGGAGCGTCGGGACCTCCCTGGGTCCACCGTCTGGTCCTTCACAGGCTGTAGTGGTTCCGCTTGTACCAGACGGCTGAAGTAGATTCCTTCCTTCCCTCGACGATGAAAAATGCCTTTCCTTCCCGCGTCTTTTCAGTTTGGGAGAAGCTGGGGGTCAGAGGGGGGCCGGCCTCAAGCGCCTCTTTGGTGCCTAGTTCATGCAGAATGAAGCTGCATGGGGCAAGTCCTCCTTTCCTCCTCCTGGGGTTAATTCCCACCGCAGAAGGCGAGCCTACCTGTCCACCCCAGAGGCTTTTGGGAGGGCGGGGGATGCGGCGGGTCACAGCTTCCTGGCTGCAGCTGGCATCCTACTTTGAGGGTGGGTCAGGAGGCCCGTCTCGGCTTGGGATCAGAACAGAGTCCTTCCCAAGGGGGACGTCGGCCTCTGTCTCGGATTCCCCTCCCGCAGGTCTTTCAGGAGGGAATTTACAACGTTCAGGGTGGCGGGGTCTGCCTGCCGTAACAGCCCCCCTAATGGCTGGAGCTCACTGCTCTGATGATCTTCCCTCAGGACTCTCTGGCCTTGGGAAAGACAGAGGAGGAGGCTCTAAAGCACTTCCGAGTGAAGTTCAACGAAGCCCTCCGGGAGAGCTGGAAGACCAAAGTGAACTGGCTGGCCCACAACGTGTCCAAAGACAACAGGCAGTAGTAGCAAGCTTCTGGAAGCCCCTGGGCCTGGAGGGAGCAGACTGCCAGCCTGGGGAACCAGGCACCCTCAGCCATCCTCTGGGGCCCCGAGAGCCTGAACTGCACCCCACAGGAAGGAACCTACATGATTGCCTTTTGTTTACACTGGTTATTTATTTATGACTTGAAACATTTCAGGAACTCGACAGCCATAAACGGAAATGCATCCTTCGTGCGGGGGAGGGGCGTCCTCAGCCAGAGGCCCCGGGCTTTGGTGAGAAGACCGAGTCGGGCACTTCAGAGGCCGCACCTCACTAAGGACTGTAACCCCGAGTCTTCCAGCTGGTGAATCGGGACCCGGCAGAGACTGCTCTCCCCTCCGGGAAGCCTGCCTTCCTCCCAGGCTCCCGCCGGGCTGCCCGGGGCTTGGCCCCTGGCAGTTACCTGGTGCCCACTTCTCCGTTCACCCCCTCCACCTTCGTGCTCTCCACGGGCTGAGCGCGGGGCAGCTCCCAGAGGAAGTCTGGGTACCCTCTAGAATCAGGGATGCTTGCTTTCCACTTTTAAAGTGACTCTTGGGTACGGGAAATCCTCTCCTCTGCTGTAAAGCGGTTTTGTTTGCGGGTAAGGAAAAAAAAAAACAAAAAACACCCCAACTACTTACGGACCCTCTGTGGCTCAGAACAGCCTCTGCCCCCATAAAGTATAATATATGCTGGTCCTCAAGACATTAAAAAGATCTAAGCTTGATTTAGCTCAACCTGTCATGGATCGAGGCAAAAGCAGGTCAGAGTACTTCGCCCTGACCTGCCTCGCAAAGCAGGTTTTAAGGCCGGACCTGATCTCTAGAACTCTCTGCTTTGGGAACCTGCTTTGAGGAATCAGGTACCAGAAACCTGAGGTCTTTGGTGGAATCTTTTTCTACTTAGCTCGAAGCAGTTCAGGCTTAGCCTTAGGGGGATCCGAGGAGCTCCTAGAAACACCAGGTTCCCGGGCCTCTCCCCAGCCGTCTGAAGACATCTCTGGAGAGGGGACTAGAAATCCGGGCTTCTAGAAGCCCACGGGTGAGCTTTATGTGTTGGGAGGCCTCGCGAGGCCAGGCAGAGTCAGGCGCAGCTGCCCTGTGGACAGGTACGGGAGCTTCAAGAAAAAGCCCACCGCTTTCTTCGGTCAGTTAGCAGAAGCCACGCGGTGTGGTCCATATGCAGAACACCACCGACCACACTCTCGTTCCCAACTAAGTGTGGAGGTCATCTGGTCCACCTTGCCAGTCCAGAAATAGGAACAGCCGAGTGTACGTCTATATGTTATTTATTGAAACGCGTCTGTGTGCTTCCTGGTGTTCTGGTTCCGGTACACAGCCTGGGTGCTTGGCGAGGAGAGTATTTTCTATTTTTGTTTTGTTTTGTGTGTGTGTGTGTTTTAGTCTTTTCATGTTTCTGTATGGGGAAGGGGAGTTCAACACAACTGATGGGGGGTGAAGACCACCGCTCTGTGAAGCCTTCACGTGAGAGGTAACAGCTTACGGAAAGAAATAAAAGCTTTTTTATGTTGTGTTCTCAGGTCAAAAACCAAGCCAGAGAATGCAGGGTTAGAACAAAACCAGGACGAGACCTGAACGCGCGCTCCTACTGGAGTTAGAACCAGCACTTTATTGTAGCGGGTACACTTTCTGACCTCATCAATATACACATCTACAAAGTGACACCACGCGGAGTCCGCATTAGCATCTACCATTGTCTACACACAGCAGCTACAGCGACAGGACGTGAGGGGCGGCCACACACGACGCAGGACGGCCGCAGTGTCCTTGCAACTAGCAGTTATAATCACAGAACAGTATTCAAAATTATTTTCCCCCAGGTTTAGAAATCTAAAATTTTACATGTAAATTAAAAACAAAGTGCTGTTGGGGTTTGAGCTCATGACTTGTCCTCTCCTTTTCCATCCCCCACGGGCCCCAGAAGCAGGGCCCCTCACTCCCGGGGAGCGGAGTTTGCCTCCGGAGCCGTCGGGGGGAAAGCTAGCGCTCGGCCTTCGGGCCAGAGTGCGTCTGTCCTTGGACGTTCTGAGTCCGGACCACTCAGGCCTGTTCTGTCTCCGCACCAAGTGGCCAGACGCTTTGTGCCATCGGCGTGCACACTCCCCGGCAGGGCAACAGACATCTAGTAGGCGTGAACCCAAGGCTGCACACGAGGAGTCCAGCTTCCTGTGCAAGGAGCTGCCGGTCCTCAGAGGAGTGTGTGAAAGAGGCCAGGGACCCCAGCTCCCCACCCCTCTGCCGGATCAGAAATGGGTAGAATCCCAAAGGAAAGACCTGGCCATTTCCAGCCTCCGGAGAGGGGTCTCCGATCCGGTCCCCTGCCGCTGAGCAGTGCTGGGAAGTCCGTGCCCCTTAACTGCCTGGCCGCCCGCCGAGGGTGTGCACTGAGCGGGGCCCGAGCGGGGCAGGCCCGCTCTCCTCCGGGGTGGGGATGGGGCCGGAGCCCACAGGGTCTCTCCCGTGTTTCAAGCTTCACTTTGCATGCCAGTCCTGGGTCATACTAGCACGGAGGACACGAGGAATCCCAATTTATTTACAAAATATTAAAAAGTCAGTTCATCATCTACATATTAACCCCCATTCTGCCATTTTATACATGCACTAGTTTGGAAAAAATAAAGACTTTAAAAAAAAAAAAAAGATTACGAGGTGGGAGGGGGCAATTTTAACCCTTTGTCAACGAGTCCAGCGATCGCAGCTTTTCTGGAGGCGCAAGGTGGGGGGGGCCGCACAGAGCGAGCCGCGGGGAGCCCAGAGCGATCTGGGCGGAGGGCGGGGCGACAGCGAGCACAGGCGGGTGGTCAGCGATGGAGAGGGTCTGCAGACCTACTGGCCGGAATGACTTTGTACACCGTGGACCCTTGGGGCTGGGGCAGCAGAGTCTCCTGAAGCGGAAGGAGGGGCGGCGGGGGCGGCCCAGGGCTCAGTAGCTCAGGGTGGAGTCGTCCCACTCCAGCTGCTGCTGCCGGTTCGCGCTCTGCTGGTCCCCGTGCTCCCCCTCCTCCTCCTCGCTGCTTTCTGACTCGGCGCTGGTGATGTCATCCTCCTCCTCCCCGGCTTCGCTCTCCTCCTCCTCTTCCTCCTCCTCCTCCTCCTCGCTGCTGTGCTGGTCCTCGTACGTCTGACAGAGAGACAGCACGTGAGCCCCTGCGCACGACCCCAGCGTCCAGTGCCGCTCACCCTCTGGGAGTCACGGACGAAGGGGACGCCCGACGGGTCACCTCACCCGAGACCAAAGGGGAAACACGGCTCTGGTCACCACCCACGGCTGTCACGGGCAGGGAGCGCGTTTCTACCCTCGCTGGGCGGCACGAGCTTGAATGAGGCCTCTCTGTACCTCAGTTTACCCACCTGCACCTCACTGAGTTGTCAGGTGGATCACGTGACATTCAAGCCACAGAAACGTGGAGATGCCACGGCCACGCTGCCTCTCTGGGGTGAGCCCAGCTTTGGCCCCGGCCGGTGGTGGTGTTCGGTTGCAGGGGCCACCGGCCCGCACCTACCTCCATGGGGTTCACGGTGATGGTCAGAGCGGAGTCATCCCAATCCATCTCGTTCTCCTTCCCGGTGTCCTGGTCCCGCATGGTTCGCTGATGAGCAGCCCGGATCCGGAAGACTCCCAGGATAATCATGAAAACCAAGAAGCTGACACACACCACAATGACAACAGTGGCCGTGCTGGGGACAACTGTGGAGGGAGGAGAGGGAACAGGGCTGTGGTGGTGTGACCCGCCCCAGAAGGCGGTAGTGCCCTTGGCCCTCATCCTCCGCAGACAGACGCACACACACACTGACGCAGCATCTGACCCGGAAGAACTCGAAGAAACATGAGGAGTCGCGGCACAGGTTTCAAGCCCAGGGCCGGCCACTTCCTGCCCTGTGGGGCTCCAGTCCCTCCCGGGCAGCGCAGAGTAAGAGAGGCAGGCCGGCCGTGGCTGTTCGGACCCAGGGCCGGGCTCTCGGCGGGAGGCGGGAGGGTGTCCCCCCGCCCCCCCGGACCTGACCCAGCCGGCCCTGCTTCTTGCCCACGGCCCTACCTGCGAACGGGTGGGGGCTGGCCAGGTTGTGACCCGAGAGATCGACGAAGGCATGGCGCTCCGGGTGGACGAACTGCGGCTGGGCGGCCATGTGGCTGGCATGCTCCATGGGGCCGGCCGTGTGAATGACGTTCACCTGCAGGGAGAAACACAGGCGACCTGAACGGGTCCGACAGGCGGAAACGCGGTTCAGAAGCTAACAGGAGCAGCGCTACGCGGAGGGGTCCCTGGACCAGCCCTGGTGGGCAGAGGAGAAAAGAACAGAAAAAAATCAAAAATCGAGGGTCGGCCCCTGGACGCCGTTGTAACTACCTGATATTTGTGCACATCCAAGAAACGTGGCACTGTTCTAATTCCTTTTTACTGTATTTCATAAAGGAATCTGTCCACAAAAGAACAGAAAAACCCCCACCACTGTCCCTCACCATAGGCCCATCTCCCTGCTTTTCCCCCAAACCACAGCGCATCAAAGAGCACAAATCCTAGCCATTTATTTCCCTTCAAATCCGCTACCCTTTGGCTCAAACAAAAGACTCATCGATTTCTCAGCACCGTGACTTCAGCGTTCTGCTGCTCTGAGGCCACCGTGCAGACACGCCAATTGCTGAGAATAACTTTGGGCCCATTTCTCCAGACCACAGAAGCCGTGAGGGACGACGGGGCTGCAGTCCGGGGCTGTGGAAGACTTCAGAGCAGGGGGAGCGCCCTGTGACCACCGTGCCCTGAGTCACCACTACCGGGCTCTGCAGACGGCACAGCAACCCCCCACCCCTGCCCCACGGCCAGCACTGCGTCTAGACCCCTCCCCCGGGGCCGGCAGTCTGCAAAGACTCTCTGGGTCCCTGGGAATTGCCCTTTGCAAAACTGCCAAATCTCAGCAAACAACCGTGCCCTACTCATGAGGTATTAACTGCCTCTAGCTCTTGACCACCTCCTTCCGAAGGCCCCTCAGGCCTCCGTGAAAGGGATGCACCGGACGCACCCTGGCCCACCCAAACCTGCGCGGGTCAGACCTGCAGCGGCCCCCAGGCCGGGAAAGGCTGGCGCACCTGGGTTGTGGCCGAGCAGCTACCCCACCACCCACCGCCGGCCCTTCTCAGCGTGGGCCCTGCACGCACCTCCACCTGAAACTCGTTGCTGATGTAGCGGCCATTGAGCTCTGAGCAGACGAGCCTGAACTTCCGGTCAAGCAGGGACCTGGTGTGCCAGTTCCGATAGCGGAGGAGGCGCAGAACCTCCTCGTAGCTGGCCATGGTGTCCACGCCTGAGGGGAGGAGGTGAGAACATTGCCTGGTGGCTGGGGTCAAGGCCAGGGTCAGAGCAGGCTGGGGTCAGGCACAGGGGCAGCTGGACCACACGTGTGTGCACTCCGGCTTTCCAGTTGTGGGGAGAAATGCAAGCGTGTGGGCACATCTGTCCCTCTCCGGGGTGTGTGCCATCGTGCGCCTGACTTCCGCCCCCCTGTAAGGACGGGAAGTAAGGCAGTGCCTGACTTCCCTTCCTGCCGGGACAGCATCGATCCTAGTGAGCCTCTTCTGTCCCGTGGCCTCCAGGACCCTCAGGGCCCGGAGATGACAGGAGGCGGGGCTGAGGCTCGCGCTCACCTGTGAAGACCATGCCCAGGTCGGAGGCGCTCACCGCGATGCCCTTCTGCTGCAGGCGGGCCATGTCTACCTCCAGGCTCTCCTGTGCTGGGTTCAGTTCCTCCCCGTCCACGGTGACCTCGCAGGTATCCAGGTCATGCACGATCTCCTCGGACACGAGCGACTCTTGAACTGCAAGAACAGAACCGCAAATAGCAGAGGCCACGGAGCCCAGGGGGGCTGGTCACGCCGGTGGGCTGCTGGCGCTCCTCAAGCTCACAGATCCCTTTGAAAAATCGATGACAGAGGCACAGGAGAGTCCCTTTCAAGAAACGGGGTGCTGGTCCCCAGACAGGCCCAGAACAGGGGGCCACCCAGCAGGAGTAGCAGGTGCCCTGCAATCACCTCAAATCTTCTCAGCCTCCCCTCAAGGGCATCTCAGATTCGGATGTCATGCCGGAGGAGGAGGAAAGTACTCTCCAGGTGGGTTTCCAAAGAGCATAATGAGCTCTAGCCCATGGGTGAGATTCCAGAAGCTGACCCAAGAATAGCATTAAAACATCCAAATCTCTCAAAATCCCAGAAAAAAAGAATTCAGTAAGAAAGCAGCAGCAGTGGGGTTTCAGCCGCGCCCCCCCCCCCCCCCCCCCCCCAACTGGGTTTGAGCCAAGGCGAGGGCGACCATCGCAGGCAGAAGTGCCGTTACCTGTGGGGTCCTCGTCCCCGTCCCCTTCGGGCTCCACTTCTCTCGTGATGGTGCTGATGATCCGAAGCTCAGGGAAAAGGAAAACCCCCTCTGGGCTTTCAAATTCAGAAGCCGCTCGAGCAAAATGGTGGACCCCACTCAGGCTGATCTTGGGCTCCTCTGGCTGCAACACCATCACGTAACCATCCACCGGGGGCACCGAGATGCAAGGAGCTTCATTAAAACACCTGCCGACAAGGGACGGAGAAGGCGAGGGTCAGAGCTTCGAGAAGCGGTTTTGTAAGCTACACGCAATGGCACGTGGAGGTTCCAACAGGCAGGAATCCACAGCCCCTGGGGGGACAGAGGCCGCGGCCGTCTGGGAACGGGCCTCCAACACACCGATAAACACCATTCAAACCCTCTGGTAACCAGCGATGGCTCACCGGTCTTTACAGATGGGAGGCTGGGTTGTCTTAAAAACCTAAACACACACATTTTCTTCTCAAGAGTCACGACCAAAGGCAGATTTATAGTTAAAAATCAGCACGTACTTGACTGTGCTGGTGAGTTTGAGTCTCCGGATCCCAGGTGTGGGGAACTGCCGTGAGTTCAGGTAGGCGATGTGCTGCATGGCTTTATCCAGCTCCCCAACATCATCTCCCTCCAAGGTCAACGCCAACTGACTGGGGTTGGTATGGATCTGAAATCATACCAGACAGGGGCGAGAAAAACGGCTCTAATTGCAAGAAGCTGAAACCACAAACACGCTGGCAAAGAGGGCTAGCTGGGGATCGATCTGACTCGGTGACCTGGAGGGGAAAGGCGCACAGAATTGGCAGCGATGAGATCTTCTTCGGGGGTAAATTCCCAAGGAGCAAATGTACCTGTGATGTAAGAGATACAGGGGCCTGGCTGGCTTGGTTGGTGAAACGTGCAACTCTTCACCTTGGGGTCCTGAGTTTGAACCCCACGAATGGGTATAGCGATACTTAAGAAACTTAAATCTTAGGGGCTCCTGGGTGGCTCAGTCGGTTGAGCGGTCTGACTCTTGATTTCAGCTCAGGTCATGATCTCACAGTTACTGAGTTTGAGCCCTGCACTGGGCTCTGCGCTGACAGTGTGGAGCCTGCTTGGGATTCTCTCTCTTTCTCTCTCTCTCTCTGCCCCTCTCCTGTTCATGCATGTGCTAAAACAAATAAACTTTAAATAAATAAATGAATAAATAAATAAATAAAATCTTAAAAAATATATATATATCTTTCGTCTCTGTCCCCAGTTTCTGGCACAGAGCCCCCTAAAATCCTGGAAATTTCCTGAGTGACAGAAGTATCTTTTCTCATGCGTAACAAGCCCTTTCCAAGCACACGAGCATCTATGTTATCCAACAGGCTCTGGGTGGCTGAGAGGGTTTCAGGATGGAGCCAGCTGCCACAGGAACCAGCTGTGTGACTACAGGGCTGGCACTTTCAGACCTGACCCTGACCCCTAGCCAATGACTTAACCAGCTGTGCCTAACGTAACAGAAGCTCCGGAAACACCCCTGAAGGACCCGGTGTGGGAGCTTCCAGTGTGGGGAGGGAGGCGCTCCTGGAGAGGATGGGGAAGCCCCATTCCCCCCTCCCCTGCCTTCTGCATCAACTCCATCTGGTTGTTCCGGAGCTGTATTTTTTAAAACAAACCAGCAGCGGTAAGTGAAGTGTTTTCTGGAGTTTTCCGAGTAGTTTAAGCAAATTACTGAAATCGAAAAGAGGGGGGATTATGGGGACCCCCGACTTCGTAGCCAAGTTGGACAGAAGCGTGCGTAACCCGAGAGCCTGACACCTCCAACTGGCCTCCGCAGCGGGGGCAGCCTCGCGGGCCTGAGCCTCACGCGTGGGGTCTGCGCGAAACTCCAGGCAGTCAGTGTCAGAAGCGAACTGAACTGTGGGACAACTGCAGGTGCCTGGAGAGCTGGGAGACCAGTGGGTGGAAAACCCCCACACATCCGCTGTCAGAGGTGTTGTGAGCAGAAGCAGGTCTGGACCGATCGCGGGTGGAGCCTCTGCCAACAGCCTGCACCCTTGTGCTCTAGGAGGCGGCGAGCGCCGCGCACGCGCACGCCCACGTTACCTTCACGCCTCTGCCGTCCTCGGGGGCCTGCAGGTCCAGCCCTTCTTTGCAGGTGTACAGACAGTCAATCACCTTCTTATCTGCGAGTTTCCCAGAACGGACAGTCAGGCCAGCCAGATTACCCCGGAAAAACTGGGTCATGTGCAGGTCGCCACCTTAGGAACACGGGGGGACAAAGCAGGCAGTTACGCGTGCACCCCAGGGCCTCCTGCTTCGCTTCTCAATGCAGTGTTACCGGTGGTGGCGGCTTGATGGAGGGACATGCGGGTTAGTTCGTACCGAATCCTGTTAGCCTTGCCATCTACATGGAAGCGCAATGGAGAAATTAAGTCGTTTATGATCATGCATATGGCCTGGAGAAAAGAGGTGTTGGGGGGGGTCCCTCACCCGAAGCCCAGAAGCAAGAGGTCCCACGAGTGTCCCCACACAACTGGCCGCTCCCTGGAAAGGGCGGCCTACGCTGCACCCATCAGCCTGGTGCACGGGTGACATTTTCCAGCAATGCCAGCCTTTTGGACCACTCCCTTCTCAATCAGCTGGGTCACGCTCTGGGTTGCCTTTTCTAACAGCACACTTGGGAATACACACAAACTTGGGACTGAGCCCACAAGAATAGGCCTAGAAAGATAAAAGGGGTGCTTACTACCCTAGCCTGCACCTAAGAGGCCTCACATGCTATCTGGTTGAGCTCCACGGTGCCTGCCCCCAGGATAGCTGGGAACTGATGGTGTTATAAGGAAAAGAGAAACCCAGAAAGTGGTCCTCGTCACACTGTGGCCAAGAGCCAAAAAGCATGTGAAAAGAAGCTTACTCTCAGGGCACCTGGGTGGCTCGGTCAGTTAAATGTCTGACTCTTGATTTTGTCTTGGGTCATGGTCTCAAGGTTGGTGCATGGGTTCAAGCCCCATGTTGGGCTCTGCGCTGGCAGCCTGGAGCCTGCTTGGGATTCTCTCCCCAACCCCCCCCCCCTCCGCCTCCTCTCTGCCCTTCCTCGCTCACGCCTACCTCCCTCCCAAAATGGAGTTAAAAAAAAAAAAAAAAGCAGCAGCTTATTCTCGCAAAAGGACAGAGACCGATGCCCAGAGCATGTCTCATTCCTGATAAGGACGTCAGACACTGAGCCACCACCAGGGACTGCGATTTCTAAGAAACCTGCGTTTAAAATTTAGTATTGGTCAGGACAGAGTATCTAGAAACGAGCCTCTTCCTGTCTCATGGTTCAGCCACATGGGAACCAGGCGGTGGCCTCCCTGATGTGGCCTATGAGATTTTGGCAGGGAGCCTCATGCGGTGGGATCAGGGTAAAATTTGAGGCGGGCGGGGGGGGGGGTGTCCCCATCAGTGCAGAACATTAATGAGTCATCTGCCCTCACTTCAACTGGAGTCAGAATGGGCAGAAAAGGGTAAATCCTGTGAAGCAGTGGTGGGGGGAGGGAGGGGCGCATAATGCAAAGCAGCAGCTCAGAAGGTGTCTGGGACCAAAATGCAACTCGGGCATTTCATGCGAAATGTGGAATGAATTGATGTCTTGTCTTTAAATGAAACACAAGAGTGAACCGTAGGGAAAGATCCAGCAACCTGCAGGGGCCATAGGCACAGGCTCGGTTTCATTGTCATTTTCAAATGCTGGATACTCTGCAGGAAAGCAAGACAAAGACAATAGAAAAGGACCAAGAGGTTAGGCTCTTCACATTGGAATTTGAAAATTAGTCTTGAAAAGCTGCCAAATATAAAACACAAAGGGAAGAATTCCCACCTTGTCCCTCTCGGGGACATCTTCCCCCCAGAAGCAAGCTCGTACTGGATTACCTTTTCGGAAGCCCCCCCCGCCCCCCGCTTCTCTTCATTCCTCCCTTGTCCCATCTTCCACGTCCACCTTGCCAGGACACAGACCAAATTCAAAATAAGGTGAACAAAAGCTTGTCCGTCGAACTCATGATCTCGGGCTGGTGCTACTGGGTGGGGCAGCGACATGCCAGCCACCAATGATACCAAACCCCGGGCCCACGCACTTTTCTCCCAGAGAGGACATTTGTGCAGACGAACTGGGACAGCACAAGTATGCATCCAAAGCCTGGTATGGATACGGTATACACGTGAAAGTATGTAGTTTTTGAAAGCTCAAAATGAGTCCACTTTGGTCTAGATGTTAACCCCTAAGTAACAGAGATATAAAGGTGTTTTTATCCACTTTTTCTAAATAGGAAGGGAGAGTCAGAGGTTAAGAAACTCACCCAGATTGATAGATAATCGGCAGTGGGTCTGGGGCCTCTAACCACTGACCTTCTCACAGGCCCCCGGCTGGTGTCCTCACAGTAATGCCAGGTCAGGGAGGCACACAACCAGCGACTGAACACAGAATCTCTACTTTCTAGATCACATTGTGGGAGCACTACATAACCCACGGCACGTCCCATGCTACAGCAGCGTGGGGGCACTGGGGGCCGGCCGGGCACGTGTGGCTGCGCTCCCACGATGCCCCCAGTTGCCTCCAGAACACCGTTAGGAATGACATTCCAGGGGTGCCTGGGTGGCTCAGTCAGTTAAGCGTCCAACTTCTGCTCAGCTCATGATCTCAGGGTTCGTGAGTTCAAGCCCCACGTCGGGCTCTGGGCTGACAGTTCAGAGCCTGGAGACTGCTTCGGTTCTGTGTGTCTGTCTGTCTCTCTCTGCCCCTCCCCTGCTTGTTCTCAGTCTCTCAAAAATGAATACACATTGAAAAAAAAAAGGGAATGACATTTCAGCCAGTGGGGGTGAGGCTGCTGCCCACAGTACGGGCTCTCCACCGTGAATTTGTATGAACCGTGGTTCCTCATCTGCTGAAGGAAGGAAGGAGACCTTCTTCCAGGTTAACGATATTTTACAAACCCTGTGTCTGGTTTGGGAATTTAGGCATGTTTTTCTGGCCGAGGATCTTGAGAAGCTGAGGTAGAAAGACGCTGTGGCACCAATAGGAACTGGGAGTCAGTGCAGAACATGGGGCTTTAATTTAATTCAACAAGCAAAGCTCTCAGGTTTGCACTTGTAATTTTATTCTTATTTTTAAAACAACTCAAATTACTGTTTAATTTGGGAAGCAGCTCTGGACTAAAACATTAAGACTTCACAGCTAAAAAAATTCCTATTTCCCTGGTAATTTGCTCCTCATTCCTTGGTTTCAAGTTCCACTTTCTCATGGATGAACTGTCCCCAAAATTAAATCCGGGAATCAGCTGAAGAAATTCACTCTAAAATGCTACCTTAATCTTGTTAATTTACAAGGATCGGCAGAAAATTATGAAATTCAAATTCTCTAAAATTAAAGCAATGTTATTGTGGGCATTAGTCTATTTTGTATCTTTCTCACCTACCCCAAGATCAAATGTTTCCATTGGGAGAAAAAAATATTCAAAAGGTCTGTTTAGCAGCGATGGCGACCCAGCCAAGTGTGACGGTTCACGTGAGGGCAGACTGAGGGGTCCGTGATCTTGGACAGGAAAAATTATGTGCTTATTATTACTCCACTAACTTGTGAAGTTCAGCTTTTTCTTTGGGCCTAAACGTTGGCTCCAAAACACAGCGGCATCAGCCATCACGGCTATTTTCCCAGCATGCTGTGTTGCTGCAAATATCATAAAGCTCGTCACTATTTTCACATTATAGCAGTTACTGAGCTTGCTGCTAAAGCTTTCTCTCCATCCGTCAATAAAGCAGCACAGATATTACCATTTCAAAAGATTCACCTTTTAGTACTATGATAACTTTCTTCCAATTTAATTGGCTGCCTTTGAAATCCTATGCGTTGTATTTCACAGATTAAGAAGAATTATCCCGGGAAGGGGTCCACATCAGACCACAGGCCCTAAATGCACCAACTTTATGGTTTCAAATCCAGAGGCCATGATTAACCAGGCGGGGTGACCCTGGGCTCTGAGCCTCAGTTCCTTTGGCTATAAAAGGGGATAAAAACTGCTCCTTCCCCACAGACTTACTGTTAAGGAAAGTAATGGACACGTGGCCCACCACTTAGAAAGTACAAATAAATGGTACTGTTGCTTCAGTGGTTGTTGTCTACCCCATCCCACTTCCGAGGACTCCCGTGGAGTCCTTTCAAGCACGGCCCTGTGGAGGGTGCTCCTGCCGAGTTATCCAGCACTAAACATTCTGGAAGAGTCCTCCGGGTCAAAGAACATTCCCAGTTTCGTGCCTGATGGTCCGCTGCGGCCTCTTTGTCTTTATGAACTTTTCAGCGAACAGATTAATTTACAACAGTCCCTCAATGGCCCTCTCCCTCCAAGTAATGCTTCCTCCCAGGTTCCCCGGGAAGGTGCCGGCTGCTGCAGTCCTGTAACAAACCGTAAGTGAGCGTCCCAGAGCATGGCATCAGCAGATGCCCAGAACGGCCACACCCAGGAGAACGGAAAGACGAAGGCAACGAGGGTAAGGGGGTAAGACCCTGAGAGGAGCCTGCTTCCACCACCAAGGCCATGAGGCAGCAGGACTGAATTCCTGATGGCGAGCAGAGGGCGCCAATGGCCATTACCTTGCCAGCAAGCCCCAACCACGAGCTGGGTTTCAATCCTGGATGGATGAAGCGGGTAATCTTCGGTCACAGAGAAGGGCTCGTGAGAAACACCGTCCACATAGAGAGTCACGCTCGGGAGCTCCACGTTGAGGACGTAGTGATGCCACTCCTCATCACAGACCTGTGAGAGGCCAAGGGAAAAACCAGGGCATGAAAGGTCTACCTTCCCTCACATCCAGAGACAATGAAGGCAATGCGACTGGGGACAGAGACCAAGTCACCCATACGGAATAATGGCTTCTGAAAAAGGAAAGGAATTTCTTAAAACTCTGACGATAAAATACATCTCACTCAACCACATCCCACCCAAAAGGGCCAAGGCAACACTATCACCTCTAGGACGTTCCAGACCAGGGGGAGGTGCCCATTCCTCATGTGACAGGGCCCAGTTCTCTTCTGCCAATAGTCTGACACTGGGAGATTCTTGTATCCGCAGGCTGGACAGCCCCCCACTGAGCGGGCTTAGCCTGTCAAGATCACGCCTTTTCTGGATCAAAATGAAAATCACCTCCCATCTCAGAATAAGCCATGCCGTAACTCATGTATTTTCTTTTTCAATTCAAAGGTGATGATCTAAATATAGGTGAGCATACAGCTCGGAGGGCGTGATAACTCAAACTGTGTTCCTTCCCCATCATGAATGAGCACCCTCGACCTCCACCTCCCCCCCCCCCCCCCCCCCCACTGCCGAGGGAAAGTGCTGTTGGCAGCCTCCAAGGTCCGTTTGGTCTGGCACTCTCTGATCTTTGGCTTCAGAGGAAGAGGCAAGTACTTGAGAACAGAGACAGGCAGAGAAAGAGATGGAGTGGGATAATGTTTTTGTTTCTTAAAACATTTTTTTAAATGTTTATTCATTTTTGAGAGGAAGTGCGCAAGCACGCGCACACACACAAAACACGAATGAGAGAGGGGCAGAGAGAGAGAGAGAAAGAGAAAAGAACCCAAAACAGGCTCCAGGCTCTGAGCTGTCAGCACAGAGCCCAATGCAGGCTCGAACTCATGAACCGTGAGATCAATGACCTGAGCCAAAGTTGGGATGCTCAACTGACTGGGTCACCCAGGCTCCCCGTGTTTTTAAAACTGTATTTCTAAATAAGCTTAACCAATTTACACATTCTAAAAAACTGAACCCATTAAAGTTAAACAGACAGGAAACATCACAATAAATGAAGAAATTACCAAAGAATATCCGGCAGAGAAAAGCGGCTGCTCCTGAGTTTATTACAGAAAAAATCCAAACCTCTAACACTCAGCATACGCCTACTGCATATGCACGATATTTTTGTATGTATGTATATATTACATGAAACCTTTTTAAATGAAGGAATTGCATGGCAAATCACTTTTGAGGCTGGTAATATCTTAATTTTAGCTTCTCTATTTAAGACAAGTTCTATAATAAAAGCTCCTTCAGAAAGCAAATTATATTTCATATATTTCACCTAGCTCTCAAAGTATGGCAGGTTTCTGGGAGATTAGCAGAGTAACACCGTATTGAAAGTCCATTTGGACTTTAGTCAAAAGTCCCTGAGAATATTGAGAAGACAGTAGTAGAATTGGCATAATTTTCTAATTTCCCTGAAAACTGGGTGATCAGGAGAGCAAAGCCCAAAGCTGTAGACAACACCCACAACACTCCTCAGTTCGGTGCCCGTGTGCACCCTGAGATGCACGTAGTGGAGAAAAGCAATGGGGCTTCCGATCCAGAGGATATCATAGAGTGGTGAGGCCATACTTACCGGTTGAGATGCCTTACAACAGTAACAGAAGAGGGAGGCAGAGCCCTAAAACTAGAAAAAGGGTCATGCTATCCAACTCTCTCCTTTGAGAATGCAAAAAAAGTAACTGTATATAAAAATAAGGAGGAGGAAAAAGGATCACAGTTCAATCCCATATGAACTTTTCCAGAGAAAGAAAGCAAATGGACGGAATACTATCCCTTCAGACCCTGAAAGCATTACCTGAAAGATATTCCCGCAACAGACATGAAAAGGATCATGTATTATTTCAGAACACTCCAATGATGTCAGGAAAGTGACACAAAACACAAAGGCACATAGATCAGGACCAGAGCAACTCAGACAAGAGCTGACGAATCAGGAATGACTTGGGTAAAAAGTGACAGGTAGAGAATACAGATAAAGAATACGAAGGGTCCCCAGAAAAGAAAGAGCAAAGCAATGACGGGAGAGGGCTAAGAACTATAACACCAAAAACTTGCCTGAAGTACCAAACTGCTTTAAACTATATACTAACAAAGGGCATACCACATATCTGGGAAAACAGACCCAACAATCAAGACGTGCATAAAATTAATTAGCTTTAAAAAAGAAAAAAGACACATCCTTTGGTCACCCAAACAAAAGAACCAAGTATCTTATAAGGGAAAGAAGATCAGATTGCCATCAGACTTCAGTAGCAATATCTTATGTCTGAAGACAATGGACAGAGAAATTTTCTGTTCTTGTCAATCTTTTTTTTTTTTAATGTTTATTTTTGAGAGAGACAGAGAGAGAGAGAGGGAAAGGGCAAGCGGGGGAGAGTCAGAGAGAGAGAGGGAGACACAGAATCTGAAGCAGGATCAAGCCTCTGGGCTGTCAGCAGAGTATGATGTGGGGCTCAAACCCACGGATCGTGGATCATGACCTGAGCCAAAGTCGAAAGCTTAACCGAATGAGCCACCCAGGTGCCCCTGTTCTTATAAATCTTAAATATGAGCCAGAGATTTCATATCCAGCCAAACTGACTTCCACTATAAAAGCCACAGACAAACTATTAAACAAACATGAAAGAACTGAGGTTGTTCCCATGAATCTCTCCTCAGGACACATTCCCTACAACGCAGATGACAGAGACAGAGTGCCACAGAACTTAAACATACCAGGAACATCCAAACCCAAGTCCAATAAAGCCTTTAGACCACACTACCAATTTACAGGCTCTAAAGAAGACAGTGGCATGTATGTTAGATGGAGTACAACAATGCAATCAGCCAAATCTAAACTATGGGAAACTCTGGGACAAAAAGCCTGATTTCTGTCATCAAATAAATTTCAGGAGAGAAGAGAAAAATCTACAGATTATAAAATAAACTCAAAAGGTATAGCAACCAATCACAGTCCCTTATTTGGATCCTGATTCAAATACAGGCTGTAAACATAAAAATACAGGGGTACCCGGGTGGCTCAGTCCATTAAGTGTCTGACTCTTGACTTCAGCTCAGGAGGACACCAGAGAATCCCTCTCTGTAGAGATAAAAAAACCTAAAATCTAGGTAGGCCAAAATCAATAACGTTATAACTGAGATGTAATCTCGAATGGATGCTGTGACAGTGAGGATGGATGAAGCAGAGCAGTGAATCAGTGACATAGAAGATAAAATTACAAAAAATAATGAAGCTGAAAAGAAGAAGGATACAAAGTCCAAAGATCACAATACAAGACTTAGAGAACTCAGCAACTCAAAGAGGAATAACATTCATAACCTAGGAGTCACAGAAAATGAAGGGAGAGAAAAAGGGGCAGATGGTTTATGTGAGCAAATTATAGCTGAAAACTTCCCTAATTTGGGGAAGGACACAGACGTCCAGAAGCACAGAGAACTCCCATTAAATTCAACAAAAGCCAGCCATCACCAAAGCATATCATAGTCAGATTCACAAAATACACAGACAAGGAAAGAACCATGACAGCAGCAAGGGAAAAAAAGTCCTTAACCTACAAGGGAAGACAAATAAGGCTGGCAGCCAATCTGTCCACAAAAACTTGGCAGACCAGAAAGGAGTGGCAGAGTATATTCAACATGCTGAATGGAAAAAATATACAGCCAAGAATTCCTTATCCAGCAAGGCTGTCACTCAGAATAGAAGGAAAGATAAAGAGCTTCCCAGACCAAAAATAAATAAATAAAGGAGTTTGTGACCACTAAACCAGCCCTGCAAGAAATTTTAAGGGGGACTATTTGGAGAAAAAAACAAAACAAAAAAGACCAAAAGCAACAAAGACTAGAAAGGACCAGAGAACATCACCAGAAACCCCAACTCTACAGGCAACACAATGGTGCTAAATTCATATCTTTCAATAATCACTCTGAATGTAAATGGACTAAATGCCCCAATCAAAAGACACAGGGTATCAGAATGAATAAAAACACAAGATCCATCTATATGCCGCCTGTAAGAGACTCATTTTAGACCTAAAGACATCTGCAAATTGAAAATGAGGGGATGGAGAGGTGCCTGGGTGGCTCAGTTGGTTAAGCGTCCAACTTTGGCTTAGGTCATGATCTCAGTTTGTGAGTTTGAGCCCCGCATTGGGCTCTCTGCTGTCAGCACAGAGCCTACTTCAGATCCTCTGTCCCCCCTCTCTCTGCCCCTCCCTGCTTGTTCCCTCTCTCTCTCTCTCTCAAAATAAATAAACTTAAAAAAAAAAAATTATGAAAGTGAGGGGATGGAGAACCATCTATCATGCTAATGGATGTCAAAAGAAACCCGGAATAGCCATACTTATATCAGACAAATTAAACTTTATTTTATTTATTGAGAAAAAATTTTTAAATGTTTATTTTTAAGAGAGAGAGAGAGAGAGAGCGCGCACGCCTGCGTGAGTTGGGGAGAGGCAGGGAGAGAGGGAGACACAGAATCTGAAGCAGGCTCTACGCTCTGAGCTGTCAGCGGGGCTTGAACACATGGACTGTGAGATCACGACCTGAGTTGAAGCCGGGCACTTAACCAACTGAGCCACCTGAGCGCCCCCAGACAAATTAAACTTTAAAACAAAGACTGTAACGAGAGAAGGGCATTATATCATAATTAAGGGGCCTATCCACAAACAAGACCTAACAACTGTAAATATTTATGCCCTCCACTTGAGAACACCCAAATATATAAATCAATAACAAACATAAAGAACCACATTGATAATAATACAATAACAGTAGGGAACTTTAATACCCCACTTACAGCAGCAGACAGATCACCTAAGCAGAAAATCAAGGAAACAACAGCTTTGAATGACACACTGGACCAGATGGACTTAACTGATATTTTCAGAACATTTCATCCTAAAGCAGCAGAATGCACATTCTTCTCGAGTGCACATGGAACATTCTCCAGAACAGAT